CAGAGACAGCTGGAAACGGATCCCTCCCTCCCTACCCTCTCAGCTCTTTTTCAGAGCAGTGGGCTGGGGAGGGAGGTGGGCAGCGGCAAGCGAAAACCAGAACACCGAGTTCATTATGTGCTGCTTAAAAGCGCCTTCCTTCCGCATGGGCAGCAGGGGTCCTGCCCAGCCAGCACGCGCTTTCCCCCCATCCGTACGTTAAACAGGTACAGATGGGGAAGGGCTGGGAGGTCAGCATTCGGGATGCTGTCTCGGTTACAATAAGCACACGCTCTCCAAGCTCGTCACATGGCCTGCAGCTGCACCACCACTTTCACAGCCTGCTATCTCCGTCTCGGCCTCACGGCAAGGATACAGCACCCACACACCTGCTCTTCAACCGCTAGCGCCACGCTTAGAGCAAACCAGGAATTCTGCAAGAGCACCTTCTCTACCACCAACGCGCTGCAGGAAAATCTCTTTAATGGGATAGCTCTTGTCAAAAACACTCAGCTGCATGGGTGCTACGCAATGAGAGGAAGCAGCAGCAACTGCAGCACTACAGGTTCTCCTGCTTGTTCTTCCCAGGCTACCCTTTGGGATGATGGCTGCTCGGCACGTAGTTGAGTGCCTCCTCCAAAACTTCACATCATAACCCTGAGGTGTCTACTCAGAGAAGTGTAACAAAGCAACAACCCTGGCTGATCACAGAGATGTGCAGAAGATTGACGAAGACAGGCCGATGAAGAAAATGAAGGTGATCTGATTACACTTTCACTTTAAATGGAGAATTGTTGGGATGTAGAAACAGAGAGCAGCTTTGGGAAAACTGCCTCAGTCAGCAGGATGGGAGACAGCCTCCGTGACTAGGTTTCAGATAAGACATAGAGAAGATGATAGTTCTCCAAGACCCCGAGAAACCACACTTACAAAAATACACACCAGAGATTTGTTTTGGAAAGTCTCGGAAAGGCATTTGGCAGGTCAAAAAGAATTAGAAGCTGTTCCAAGAAGAGTGTCTTCATATACTTTAAAGTCACAAATCAAGCAGTTGGGCCTTGAAACTTCAAATTTACTTTCCTCTTTTGTCCTCTTCATTGCAGACTGGTGCCTTGGATTGCTACTGAGTGGTTTGGTGGATAACACTGTGGAATTTATAAAGTCCAGCTTCATAGCTAAAAAATCCTGTGAAGCCTCAGTTACTGCTCTTCTCAAAATACTTGATTGAATTGCCAGGCCCTACAGGGATTATGGTACCCAAAACTACCAGAGTTCCATGGGAAGTTGATACAATGGCATTTATAAAGGCAAACCAGCATCTAGGCAACTTGAAAACACACTATACACCACTTGCAAAGGAGGATGCTATAGGGAGAGCAGGCAGCTAAAAAGCCAGAGCAGCGCACAAAACTTTTCTGAGAACAGGAGAAACTTTTAGCATGCTCAGACATGGGCAGAATCTTATTTGTTCTACATATTATATAGTTCTGCTCAACAAGAAATCCATAATTATAGCAAAACATATCCTCTGTATAGGAAAAAATAATAGCTACAAGAAACGTTCCCAAGTCACTAGTTCAATATGTTCTCTGAAGAAGGGCCAACTGGTTATATGCTATATTACAGCAGTGCTGGGGAATGAAAGGGAGGGCTTCTAATCACAGAGTCCAGAGTTCTCTGTACTATGTCAAAATATTAGTTAAGAGAGTGCCATTAAGTCTTGACAGCCAAAAGCCAGGATATTTTAAAATGTAGCTGTTTTGCTGCTTGTATACCAACCCATGGGAAAAGCACCACTCTGTACATACAGAGCTGCCATCTTATTCTCTTCTAAATCTCTCCTTAAACCTGTCTCTGTCACAATATCTACAAATCAGTCCTGCATAGCAGGGCCTGGAAAACCATGAGCTGTAAAGTTCACGTTTTCTGCTTCTATCTGTACATTTCTGTCAGCACTCCATCATAGCAACCAATTCCCGGCCACTCTGAGCTCTCACTGTGAGGGGCAGGAATTTTTGTGATTTGTTTAGATTGTACCTTGGGTGATGGAGCTCTTGATTTTGGGGGAATTCCCAGATGTCATGATAAACAACAAAACAAAATGACAACAACATCAAAAAAAAAAAAAAAAGAGGCATTTCAACATTTATGAACAAAGCATTTGAAAGTCTGGAAACTCAAGAGCTAAGATTCCACATGCAGCGCTCTAATCTCAGCAAGTCCTATCCCTATAGCCCATAGTTCCCCCTACACTATATTAGTAGTTTTCTAATACAAACCCTGTATCCTCACAATAGCAGCTTGTTAGCCACTGTAATGAGAATTACCGATTACACCAAAAGCCATCTACTCAGAAATCTTGCAGGAGGGGTCACTACTCTGCATTTCGTCTACCATCTACAAGTCAAGACCTTCTCCCAGATTTCCATTGCGTTGCATAAAAGATATCTTCACATTTCATATTCCGTACAGGATCCTCAGGATATCTATCGCAATCTGATATTCTGCAACCCTCTTTTGGCAGGCCACAAGTGAGTCTTGCCTTTCATATTGCTCCTCTGTTTCGATCTGGGCTTCATACTCATCCAGATAACATGACCACTAGAACCAATTGCTAGTTCCAGATGAAGACCCAGAACATTTCAGCTTTCCTTATTTATTTATTAAGCTTTTAAAAATCTCTGGTTCCACAAAGTTCACAATAAGCTGAAAGGCCCTTCAAATATTCGGGTAACTGTGATACAAAAGACACAGGCTAATGTGTGACAGGGTTTGTTTGCAGAATCTACATTCATGTTTCCAGAATTTCAAATATTTTGCTACAGGTTATATTTTACATTTCCTCAATTTTAAACATGCTTTTAAGAAGAAAGTAATTGCTTTCTCTTTTGTCTGAGGTTTATTATAATGAATAGCAAATATTTTTGCACAGCTTTTAATAAATACCTATTACTTGTTTCAGTACCTCCACTCAGTGAATGGCACTAAAAACCATATTCACATTTGCATTTCGGGTGGCTGGGGCACTTGTGAAAACCCACCACCAGCCAACGGGCAAGCAGAAGACCCACAACCTTTTTGTTGGCTATGGAGAGCCATAGCCAAGAGAATCTGCCTCATCCCAGGACAATCTTCCAGATCATGTATCCCAGACTACAACAATCCACCAGTGACAGCTGCTCCCTGATCGATAAGCACAAATGAAAATAAAAACATTGAAAAATCTCCCTTTAGCAATTTAACAGCATCTATAACTATGTATTTTAAACAATTCACATTATTTTGCAGTCTTCCTTTGGGGAGGAACCAGTGAAACCAGGCACTCCCTAGACTAAGCAGAGCGCAGCTCACAGACATATTGCAACATTGTGTAAGGAGAACTGAACCGACAGACTTAGAACTGATAGATTTGTGAGAACAGCAGTAAGTCGTTTAACTTGGAAAGTTAACTTGGAGGATTGGAAAATACCTTGGCCTTACCGAACGCTTCTAAGGCAAAAGTACTGTAGTAATAGTGGTAAGATACACTGGCAGGACTGGCACTGACACGACAGTCCTTCCTCATCCTGACTATTCCAAGAAAGAATGTTCCTCGTCTTTTAGGCTTTTTGAGTTTCCAGAACTTTAGGTCAGGAGGAGCAATGGTGAATTGCATCTGACTGGACAGTTTGCTCCACTTTGCCTACGTAGCTCGCAGCACGACAAAGCCGTTGCGGTAGAGCACGCTAGCGCAATCCAGCTAGTTTAGGTGAAGGCATCAGTCAAGACAACAAAGTAGCCCGAAAAATTCTCCAGAAACCTGGAGATGAAGACCCTCCTCTAGTTGGCAACATAGAGCGAACGGCATGCTGTGCTGACCTCACCTCTGCTGACACTTGTGCTAACGTGAGCACAGTCTGCCCGGTACATCCAGGCATCCTGCCTTCCTGCACCACCGTCTCCCTAGTCCAACCTGCAGGAGACGTGGAGGCTATGGTCCTGACAGATCTTGCTGCTTAGTCTTACAGTGGAGCAACTCCACTTTGCTTTACCCCTGAGTCCGTCCCCAGGAATACTCAGTTGTGTTTGCTTGTTAGCTTTAAGAGGTGGATAAATATGTGCAAATTTTGACAGAACTCATTGGTCACAGTTACGTTTGAACTTCAGTCTCTGGCTAGAAGCACGAGCTCAGGCTCCCCAGCTGCAGTATCACTCTCGAGGAAAGTCCCTTCACATTGGTTACAGCCCACGAAGGAAGCTGCTGTTAGTCCTTTAGTCCTTGCTGCCCCGGTATCGACAACAACAAACATGGTCAGCAAATCCACAGCCTTGGCACTCAACTCGAGCACGGAGTCCTCTCCTCACTGCAATTGCCAAGCCACTGCACCTCTCCCTGGGATCTCAAAGTGATGCTTTCTGATTTACCCTTAACTTGCAAACACCAAGGCCAATACCACAAGCCAACAGAGAGCTTGCACTGCAGCAAACAAATCATTTCCACCAAGCAGCTTCATGCTCCTGCTCCCCATGCCAAGTAGAGTCGTTGGGTATCTGAGGGTACTTTCTGCTCTGCTGCTGCTAAGAAGGGAATGTAATCAAGGAACAGTGAAAGAAAAATGGGGACTCTGCTCCCCTACCAAAGCAGCAAGGGATTACAGATTTGCACAAAATTTGTTCTAATACAGACAGGTGCTGCTCCATACTGTAGCTGTCCTGGTTTCCTGTAAAGAAGTCCAAGATGACCAATTATACCTTTTTCCAGGGTCTAGAGCATAAATTACTGCTATCAGAAAGGTAGGGAGAGGGGTACTGCCCTAGCAGAAGGGACAGTGCCATGAGTGTCCTGTCCTGGTTTCAGTTCCTGGTCCTGATTTCCTTGTTCCCCCATGATGACAGGAGCTGGAAGTGCACTCAGGCCCTGGATCTGGGGGGAAGCAAAGCTGGGACTGAGACAGAAAGGAGGAAAAAAGGAGAGCGAAAGAGGAGGACACATTATGCTCCTGAGCAATTCCTGCTACTCAGTCAAACAACTACTGGGTTATCTTCTCAGTTGCAGAAGACAGGGAGGAGGAAAGCAAGTTGTCATCACACATTCCCTCATCTCTCCCCACTTACCCCTATCCTGAAAGATTTCAGTGTGACATGATTGTAAACAGTTAAGGATTCCTCCAGTGCTAAGCCCACTACAAGCTGGGCCCACCCCCTCCCCCATTATGTACAATACATTCACCAACAACAGAAATTTATTTAAAAAGGCAACAGGTTAAATTCTGTAAACTGGATCCAGCTCCAAAACACACGCGTTAATACTACAAGTAAAAATTCCATCATCGTCCTCTTCCACCCTGAAAAATATACCTGAGTTTAGCAGTCAATGAAAGTTTCAATCCCCACCCCCGCCCTCCCCACCCAAAAAAAATCCCTCAAACCCTGAACGAGACGCAGTCTCCAGGCATGGAAAGCCACCAGTTTGGGAAGCTGCCCCGGTGGTGACGAGCCAGCCGCTTGGCTGGCCGGGGATCTGTCACCATTCTGGTTCCCAATGCAGAAGCGATTGTGGCACTGTGTTCCACGGCCCCAGGAAGCTCCGTGCTGCTTGGGTGAGGGGAGGGTGGGAGGAAGGCCTGTCTATCCTCCCACCCTGTCCAAATCACGTGTGGCTTTCATCTTCTTGAGGGTCTTCCTTCCTTGGACTAGCTCTAGAAGAGGAAGAACAAGAGTCAGGGAGTTTAATGAGCAGTTTTATAAATAAACAGCCTCATGATTCCATACAACTAGACAGCAGTACATTGCAATATTTGTCAGCTCAGGCTATGCTTTATAGTCAGCTATGGCAATAAAGAAACCCCTAGTTCCTCTGCATAACCATGAGTTGACTACGCAGCTTACTCCAGTGCTATCCACTCTTAGTAAATACTTCACTCCTTTGAATGATGGAGAGAGAAGGTTGGCATCTGAACCCCGCTCTTTTTGGTGGCCCTTACTTGATCCAGAGGCAACGCTGATGGTTTCTGTGGCGTCAGCTCTTCCCGGGACATGGTTGTAGCAGGCATCTTCGGGAAGGGAACTTGAGCCTGATGCATTTGCATTCTGGAGCCAGGTTGAACGGAGAGAGAGTTTTAGCACATAAACATCAAGAATAGATCCCACCTGCTCGGCCAAATGCAAGTCATTTGTACACAAGCATGCATTTCATGAACATGCTCTTCTTTCTGGCTTTTCCCCAAGACATAAACTTTAAATCCACCCCCATCTCCTCCAGAAGATGACTTAGTTGTAAGCCAAGTCTCCTGAACAGTGGGAGAAGGGAATTCATTTATTTCCTTTTTCTCCACACCTGCCTAAAAAGGGAACCGTTTACCGTTCAATCCATGGGGGAAACTATGACAAAACAGTAACAGTAGCAGCATATTTATATAATCTGAACATGGCATTTTTGGAATAGTAGAATTTTCCACTTTGGAATAATATATGCAAAATCTCAGTGAGAATTAATTTGCTTTGAGGGAAGTTTGAAACAGAGAGGAAGAACAAAGGAAGAGAAAGGGAAAAGGAAGGCAACATTGAAGTAATCAAAGTTGATAACAGGAAGCTACCTTCAACTTCTGTTAGCTAGTCTGCTACATTTTGAAAAAGATGCAGTGAAATTCTTGCAAAACAGAAAGAGCCCATTTGTTCAGATGTGCAACACTAGACAAGGCATTAAAAAAATACTGTTCAGATACAACTGTGGTACAGGGATGGGCTGGACAGGCTAACAGGTCTCCGTATTTGCTAATGTTGCTTGTTTGAAAAAGCTGCAATGAGACTCTCTTCAGAGTTCTCTTACCACAGAGGCCTACAAGTAATACGTCAGGATTTTAACAGCACTTGCCACTTTCTCCCATTTCAAGTCGGGACCTTCCAACAACATCCAGCGTTTCTTGTCACCACCCCTCCCACCTCACCTTCTTGCCAAAAACACAATCTTACCCCGACGATCTATACAAGTCCTGGGGTGGCCCCCCCATGCCACCTCCACTGCCTCTCTGCTCCATCAGCAAGGCCTGAAAGTGACCTATGTTCTCCTCTCGGCAGCGGTACAGGGGTCCCTCCTGAGAGAGGCCATTGGCCTGGCCAGGAGCTGGGCGATGAGACAGGTGAGCATTCATGGGTGATCCGTATGTCCGGGGCTGGAAATGACTGGTGGGATGTCGGGATGCATAAGGAGAGCCAGTCTGTAGCATTACCCCATGAGGAGGGAAAGCTGATGGGCCAAATCCCATGCCCGAACCCAGGGGTGGTGGGGGAGCTCCATAGAGGAACTCTCCTGCTGCCACTGAGCTTTGCCTTTTCGTGGCCGCATTGTGGTTGTCCAAATCAAGAAACTCTTTGGGACTCTCCGGCCTTTCCTGGGATTCATCAGACTTCTCATCTTCAGGCCCCAGATCCTGCCCGTCACTCGGAGAAACCTCTTTGGCACTCACTACGTCCATGCGGTTTGGAGAAGCCAGGGCAGCGCTCAGTGCCTCACAGGCCTGCAAGCTGCTCACGTTCCCCCGCTCAGAGAAAGGGGGTCTTGCCAGGGGCGAGTGCCCACTGGGACTGGCCTGGGGATGGAGAGGCCTCTGCCAGTCCGAGTAGCCTTGCGGACAGGCATAGTACGGTGGTCGCTGGTAGTGGTGGTAGGAAGGCTGCGGTTGGGGCTGGTAGGGGTAGGGCATGCCCTGGTGGGGGCGGTACCGGGGGAAGACGCCAGGATGGGCGTTGCTTGGCTGGAAGCCCTGCGATGGAAAATGCTGCGGGTGAGACACGGGCGGCGGCTTCCCGCCCATCACGGGGCTGAACCCTTGCAGGCCTGGGTTGATGTGGTAACGGGCGGCCGAATTTGGGTATTCCAAACCAGGCATGTAGAGAGGATGGAACTGGTTTGAGGCGGCCCCCATGGAGCCCGCATCCATGCCAGGGAGGCCGGTGCTCTGCCCCATACAAGGCACAGCTGCATCAGGCAGAGCCTTTCCGCTGCCGCAGAGGGGCTTCTCCATGAGGTTGGCAGCTAGCCCCTTTCCCTCCGTGCCACCTGAGGAGGGCCCTTCGCCCACAGCCCCGTTCTCGGGCATGGGCCCTCCTCTCTCCGCAGTGGGCACGAGGTCCCTCACGCAGCCCTGGGCGCCTGGGCTGCCGTAGGTGCTCTCCACTGGCCACGCGCTCTTGTTCTGCATTGCCTTCAGGTCATTTTTCGCTCCGGAGCTGTCTCCTTCCCCATCTGGAGGCAAGGCACGCCGGGTGCACTCCATGGGCGGCGGGGCTTTGGGATGAGGTAGGAGTTTGGCGTAGGCCCCGTCGGGAATGCCGAAAGAGCCTTCTCGTCCACACCGGTGGGCGGCTCTACTGGAAAGAGAGAGGGGGAAAAGTTGCTCTTGGGTCTAATTTTGGAAATTAGCCCTCCCTGCCCAATGTACACGTGCTTACTCATGCTCACCCAAGACAAATTTGCCAAAGAGCAAAGCCTGTCAATTTAACCAGCTGTACCAAAATAATCTCACAATATCTGCTTTTGGTGGGAAGGGGCAGCAGCCTCTGTCACTCTGAGTCTCAGCAAAAATTTGTTTGGCAGCATTGTCTGACAAATACCTAATATTTGGGTGGAGAAAGCATTCTACTTTCTTAACTGTGTAAAAATGGAAAAGAACAAGTACAACTTTCTAAAAATTACAAAAATCATTTTGTTTTCATCAAAGCCCAGGTAAATACTACAGAGTCTCTGATAACCCATCCTCTACTCAAACTTCTCTAAGGGGCTGTCAGGGCATGGCACTACACAACTGCTAGACAGATTCTGTGGGGTTATGGCCTCCCTCCCACTCCTGACATAAAATTTTTCTTTTGGAGTTCCTGAAGGATTCTTGTAAAGTCGGGCAACCTTCAGTAGCTGAAGTTTTTCATAACGTCGTAGCTCTGAATCCATGGTCTGACACATGGGTGTGCAGAGACTGCTTAATGGAGGGTAGGGTGGGGAGAGACCATAGGCTCCACATAAGAGTGAGCTAAGAGGAGGAGGTAACAGCTTGATTTCAGGCTGTGTAGCACCTTCTGGTCCATAAACCCTGCCTGCCCACAGCTTGGGCAAAAGCACTACCGCATACCAAGATATTGCAAAGCCAGTAACTGTCATATTTCAGCCAACTGTGATTTGGAGATGCAGCTGCTGTGCCCTGTAATCACTCAAAGTCCTCCCTCAGTCTCTGTTCTATATCTAGCACAGTTAGATGATAATGAATTTTAAGCAATGCCACACAAGGAAAGAGTTTCCTTTTAGTGCAAGACACACAAGGGATCAATAAAAGATACAAGGTTTTTGATCTCTAATTTACCAGCTAAAATTAATGAAAAAAACTTTTTTTTTTTGATCTTTGGGTTTTTTTGATCTCTGCTCTAGGTTTGTTTTATTTTTAAGGTTTTTTTGATCTCTAGTTTACCAGCTAGAATGAATGAAATTCAACTAGAAAGAAACTTGTGGTGGCACATATGACACACTGCCACAGCATCAAAACTGACAGGGCTGTTGCATGGTTTTCTGACACTTTTCTTTCATGCGGATTTTGAGATGTTACGCTCATGAGGCCCATGTGCATTTCAAAGGAGATGCCATACTGACATATACCAAAATCCTACCTAACTCTTTGCAGATTCAGTTTTTATATTAATGCCAACTGATCGCTAGAGGCATTACAGACTATGCTTTGCATTTGCCCTGAGTGGCAGACCGGTAACTGCCACGTATAACAGAGAGAAGAGACCTTTGGCAGACTGCTGTTGGTGCCCTGGCAAACAAAACAAATCCTAGAAAAATCCCAACTGAGGCAGAAACAGAAAATATATTCCTATTCAGATTGAAAAACCAACCAAACAAAAACAAAAAGGCTAGGAACATCTCCACAATTACTTAATCAAAAGCTTAACTCTTTTCTAGAATAAAACTAGTGTCTTAACCAGTGTTGAAAATGGACTCAGGGTAAGTGTATAAGCCAGGGCATATATTTCACTTCTCTAGCAGTGCGAGTCCAAACAAAACCATGTTTGCAGAGGAAGCTTTTGTGCATTGGCAACACTACTAAGTTTGGGGTCCTCAGAGTTTAGAGGCCAACAGCAGGCATGTATTTCCCAAGAAAGCTGGTCTGGGGGTGCTTCCTCCTTCTCAGCAGCACAAAACACACTGGGCACAACTCCCAGCCCAACAGTGTAGCTCCTTGCTCCCAAAGGTGCACGCATGGCTCTTTGTGGGGTGCTGCTGCACACACACACGCTGTGAACCTGTGCAGAACAGCACAAGGATTCAGGTAGCTGCATCCGCTGTTCTGATCCTGAACGAGTCCCAGCAGCAGCAAGGACAAAAAGAGAAACCTCTTGATGGCTTTCAGCCAATGCCCTTCTCCAGCAAGAGACAATCAGTGGGCAAAGGGTCCGCCAAAGCTCAGGAAAACAGCGTGCTGCGCAGCAGGAGGAGCGGCAGAGGTGTGGGGGCAAGCAATGGTGAGGCGGGTAACGCAAACGGGCAGGTAAAGCACAGAGCTGCAGGCAGGGGCTGCCTACCCGGGCAGATGAGCTCAGCACGAGAGGGGTTACCTTGGTTGCTCTCTGGCTCCATGGTCTGCCCGCTCTGCTCCTGCGAGTTCCCGTTGCCCACAGCGGGTTTCGGGGGCTGCATGCTGGCGGATGCCACGTGAGCCAGCTGTGGGAAGGGGCCGGGGAGATGCGGAGGGGGCGGCTGGCGAGGGTGGTAAGGCACACCCGGCGGGCACACGCGGGACGACAACTGCTGCATGGCAATCATCTCCGGACTGTCCATCATGGAGTCCCCACCCTGGCACCCTCTTTGAACCTGAGGTGGCCCCCCAAACAGAGAGGCTGCTGGCTGCGGCATCCGCTGGCCGGTGGCTTTTTCCGGTGGGCTGGTATATTCTGAGGGGGGAACCCCATGGGGGA